CAAGACGGTATAAATGCATCAACCTTTGAACAAAAGTGTTGATCACAAGGGAAATGGAGATCATGGGGAATCTAGATCAGTTTAAGAAATATGTTATGTTCAGAATCTGCAACAAACTGAAGTTGAGATTAGGAATTGGAAATGGGTGAAATCAGAATTTGAATTTTTTACGTGAGCGTTTGAATTTGAATTTTTTTTTATCAACAAAATGAATCAAAAATAATATGTTTGTGAAATTTACATACTAATAAACTTTAATTGAAACTCAAGAAAGAGGAGATTATATCAGCTCCAGGTCCGATTTCTCTGTGGCTATGAACACTAATAGCAACAATGATGATAAAAAATTCACAACTACAGGAATTACCGAGGATTCCAGCATGAAGAACAGCAGCACTGGAGACTGGAAATATGCATTGCTGTTGCTTGGTAATATAAATTTTATTCTGACCAATATGTTTGATTTCTCCTATCTTAACTCGAAGTAAAACTCGTTGAATTAATATCTTGTTTTAACGTATACTTGTTGATTAATCTGGTGCAGTGAATCAAGGCGCGGCAACACTAGCATTCTCTGGACTTGGAACTTTCCTCAGTGATTCTTACTGGGGCCGCTACTTAACCTGCACAATCTTTCAGCCGATTTTTGTTTTGGTAATTTAGTTACAGCACTTTTATATCTATATATGTGTATAATGTGTTCTCAACATGTGCATATACGTACATATGGATGTACTAAGAGGTATTCCATACATTGTTTTTATGAAAAGGGTTTGGGACTAGTATCATTATCGTCATGGCTATTCTTGATCAAACCTGAGGATAATGAAGGTTTTTCCTGAGGCCAAAACAGCTATTGAAGGTTTTTTCTGCAGAATATAAGTAAAAAAGTTGAAACATGAGAACACTGAAAATATACAAAAAGGTGGAATATATATTCTATTTTAAGAATGACATGTATAATATCACAAAAAAATATATATATATATGTATATACATAAATAGAAAGAAATGTGTAGGTATAGATATACATTTATAGGAAAATAAATCATGGAACAGATTCAGAAAATAAGGTAGAAAGAAAAAAGAAATAATATATAAGCTAAAGGCCAGTTAAAATCTTCAAACAAACAACTGATAATAACTATATGTATACTGTGTAAGTGAACATATATATATATATATATACATATATAAAGAATATATGTCAATCAAAAGGATGTGATTAGCAGAAGACTAATATAATATGATACCATGAGGCAGGGAAAAGCAAAGAGATGATGAAAGAAGATGAACAGACAACAAAAACTGGCCTTAAGAAAAGAAGTAAATTAATGGGAAAGAAGAACACTGAGAAAAAATATAGAGCAAGAGGATTCAATATATATATATATATATATATATATACACATATATAGAAGAGCAAGAAGGATTTGTGAGCAGAGACGTATATCAGATAGAATTTATAGCAAGCTAATCATGAAAATGGGTATCACACATTCTGTATTTATTATATAATATATAAAAACTGAGACTAAAGTCACTCAAGACTAAAATGACTAATTTGAATTTCTTGCTTTAACTTTCTTCAACTTTAAAAAGAAGAGAGATGTGGAAGTGAGAGTAGGAGAGTAGAGTATGTGTGTATATGGGTATATATATGTATGTGTATATATAATATGTATATGCAGAGAATGGAGCTTTAATATGTATATATAGTTAGCTGGTGAACATATATGGCCTACATATTAAACTGCAATCAAGTTTTTCTTCTAATAAAATGTCTGTTAATATCAATGTTTTTTATTCGGTCGTGTTGATGCTTATGGCCGATTTGTTGTTATTACGTAGGCGCTAAGAAATTTTTTTACATGATTATGTATCAATGAATGTATAAATTTTTAATTAAAAAACTAATAAATATAATATGGTGAAATAAGAGCGTGCATTCTTTACATCACTTGAAGAGAGATTTCGAGTCTATGCACCAA